AGGGCTTAGGAAGATTGTTTTTGGATTAGTCAAAGGGGGAAATGATTCATGAGATAGAATAGTGCACCCTGGTGTGCCACATGGCAGATGCTGAGATTCTATAACACGGGCCAGACCCAGGCATAGAACAGCAGTGGAGGTGATATAGCTTCCTTGTGGGAGTGCATAGGCTTCAGACAGTCAACTGGAAGTAGGTGAAATGGGTGTTGGGGACAGGTCCCTGGTCAAAGGGAGCTCCATGGAAACTGCCAGGTATGTGCAGGTTGATCTGCTGTACAAAATAGGCTTCTTAGAGCAGGTCTGGGGAATGACCTGCCCACTCAAAGGGTCAAAGGTCAAGAACTATGGTTGTAATTAACTATTTCACTAAGTCACAATCCCAGTATGCTTGTGAGCTACTAGAGGGCAAGCACTACAGTTTCTCTTCTTTCTTCACAGCACATCACAGAGATGGACAAAGGTCCACACCAAATTCGTTAATCTGACAAACTGCACTAATCATCTACTTTGAGCAGTATGCTGTGCCAGGAATTGGGAAAACAAAAATGATTAAGTCATGGTATCTACCCTCAAGGAGCCGACAGTCAATTGCTCCTGAACTGAATTAGGCTAAGTAAAAACCAGCCAATGTGTGGAAGATGGGCTGGGGTTAGGGAGCAGGAAAGGGCCAGAAGAGAAGGAACTGCAAGCAGAGAGGGCAGCAGAGACAAGTGCAGGCAGGACGTGCAGGAGGCAGAAGCAGCAGTGGGCCCTGTATGCCAGCTCGGGCAGTGAGGGCCCCTCAAAGGCTTGAAACTTGGGGGCAGCACTCTTATGTGTGTGTTTTACAAAGATCACTGCAGCTGGGAAGAGAACTGATTCCAGGGGAAGAAAAGGAGGTGGGGAGACCAGTGAGAAGGCCACTGCTGTGGTTCAGATAGGAGACGCTGATGTTCTGAGCTAGGGCAATGATATTAGAAACAGAGGTGAAAGGTCAGGTTTGTGAACCACTGAGGAGGTAGAATATAGGGCTGTAAGGGGTGAGAGAGAGGGTGGAGCCAAGGAAACGTCTAGGTTTCTATTTAGGAGACCAGTGAATGGTGGTTCCTTTATGCAGATAAGAACACAGGAGGTGGGCAGGTTGGGGGAAGGGGAGGAGCTAGTTCTGAATGTGCTGAATAAACAGCTGGTTGCCATTCTGAGGAGGACAGTGAAGCTTAGAGGCCCTGAGCTCCAGGAGGTCTGCCAACAGGGTAGGCATCCTCCCATCCCCATCACCAACAGCAGCACTGGATTCTGGAAGGAGAGCCTCACTTTCAATGCCAAGGCTCTGGCTTGTGGTATGTAGGTTGGTCCTGCTTTGGCTCCAGTGGCCCTAGACCAGAGAGGCAATGGGGACATGGGCTGTGGGGCTGGTGCTTCATCTGCTCCATTTGTAAGGCGGTAACTGTGTGCCAGCCTTGCTACACGCCCTGCAGCTGGGGATCACACTGATAAATTCACTGTATTACTTTGCACAAATCAATATCCCAGCACTTACCAGGGGTTGATGTGACCGAAATTGGTTTCAGCCAATTCATGAGGGTAATAAATGGCCATTTATCAAATCAATTCATTCTGCGGCACTTCTCTGGCTGCCCATCCTCATGGTACTCATGGGGTGCCAGGCTCCATCCATCCAGTCCCTAGCACACACCTGACTCAAGCCTAGAGGACCCAGGGAGGCCTAGCCTCTAGATCCACCTCACTTTCCCATACCTGCTTTAGCCTTGAGGTACTGAGGCATTGTGTGCTGCCTACCACAAGTTCTGACCCAGTGAGTCCCTCACACTTCTCCTGGGCTGGGAGCTAAAACCACCAGGCTGCCCCATTCCCTTATGCTTGGGTCCAGAAGCCTCTGGGAGCTGATCACAGGGTCTGAGCATGGTTCTGAACATTATCAGTGTGATCCCAAGCTGCAGGGCTTCTCAACAAAGTGGGCACACAGTTATAACCTTATGAATGGAGGTAAAAAAGCACCAAGCCTACGATCCAGGTCTCAGGGGCCTTTCTGTCTTTTCTAAGTTCACTGAAGCCATAGGTGGGTCAACCTATATACATAGGACAGAAGCAGGGCCTTCCTGGGCAGTAACTTTGTTCTAACTTGAGGCCAAGTTCGAGCGACAGAATGGGAACTCTATGTAGAAGGAAGCACTCGGGGTACATATTCTGACAGCTCTTGGAGGTGAGGAGTGGAATCACCTACTCTTGCTCTGGGCCAATGAAAGAGAGACAAGGACAGTGACGCATCAGAGGTCAGCATAGGGCCAGGGGAAGAGGTGAGCTGGGGCTGGAACTAAGGATCAGTCCCAGGCTGACGGAAATAGCTGCGGACTTGACCTAAAGAGCACACAGGACCTAACCCAAGACTAAGCATCTTGAGGACAGGGGCTAGGTTTTCATCCCTGTTGTGTGGCATGAACTGGAAAGAGCATGTGCTTTACAGTCAGACAGACCTGATTTGGTGGCTCATTACACAGGTGAGGAAAGTGATTGATGGAGTTTGGATGTGTTGTCCCCTCCAAAACTCATGTGGAAATTTGATCCCCATGTGGCAGTGTTGGAAACTGATTGAGTCATGGGGGTAGATCCCTCATGAATGGATTAATGCTCTCCCTGGGGGAGGAAGGATAAATGAGTGAGTTCTTGCTCTATTAGTCCCCATAAGAGCTTGTTGTTTAAGAGACCCTGGCACCTCCTTTGTCTCTCTCTCTTGCTTCCTCTCGCCATGTGATCTGCTTGTACCCGCTGGCTGCCTGCCACTTTCCGCCATCAGTAGAAGCAGCCTGAGGTCCACGCCAGATGCAGCTGTCCCAGAATCATAAGCCAAATAAACCTCTTTCCTTTATAAATTACCCAGTCTCAGGTATTTCTGTTGTAGCAACACAAAAAGGACTATAACAGTGATGTTCAAAGAAGCTAAGTGAGCAGGCCGAGTTGTACAGCTGATAAGCAGCAGACCTGCTGTGAGCCCAAGTTGGTCTAATCTTTCCATCTCAATACCTCCTACCAAACCCTACTTTTGGGGAGCTTCACATCTTATGGGCTTGAGGAGCTGGTGAGAAGTGGGAGGTCAGAAGAGAGCAGGTAGCCTGGTGGGAAAGGACTGTGTAGGAAGCTAAGGGAAAACACTACAGTGGTAGCAGCAGTCCAGGCCCACACAGACATGAGACTGCAGCAAGAGATGCTTTCTTAGACCTCCACCCAGGTAAGCTTGTCTCAGCTGTAGCCTATACTCCTCTTTTCAACCATGAGATTTCCCAGAGTCTCTCCTGCCTGCACCTCAGACACAGCCTTGGCAAAGGAGTAGGGGTTGCGACCTCTAAGGTGGTGGTTTGGGGGTGGATGTCTGTAATATCCAGACCCAAAAGGGCAGCCTGGTGTGATTTGGGCCTGAGCAGTGGGGCCCTATGTACTCACAAAAGCTTTCCCCAGCTCCTGTGTGTGCCTGCAGGCAGGCTTCTGACCTCTAGTTGGTGAGGCAGCTCTGGTCTATGGGCTCCTTTTCTCTGTTGATGGAGTCAGGCCCCTGATGAGGGGCTCATCACCCCCATGTGAGCCCCTCTGGTGTGTGAGGATAATGGAGATCAGGCTGGGCCCAGGTGTCACAGGGGCGGCTGCCTTCTTTTTCAGTTACCCCCTTAATTGGTATCTTAGGGCTGCCCCAGAAAGTCCCAAAGGGGCAGCCACAATTTTAGACTGATGGCTCCTTTTCTCAGTGAGCAGAAGCTGGTGCTGTCCTTAGCAGTTGCTGGACTGCCTCTGGTGGGACTAGATGCTTGAAGAGAAGAGGCAAGCAACATGTAAGTGGTACTGACCCAGACATCTCAGGGCAGTGGTGTTTTAAACTTCAGCGGAGCATCAGAATTGCCTGAAAGGCTTGTTAGTTAGAGTTTCCGATACCACAGGTGTGGGGTGAAGCCTGAGATCTGATTTCTAACAAGTTCCCCGAGGATGTTGCTGCTGCTGGTCAAGAGATCGTGCTTGGAGAACCACTGCTTTGGGGGATACCCCTTTGTCTCAGCCTGGCGTAAGGTTCCTCTTCCCTCGCCTCATCTGTCTGAAATCACCCTCAGGGAGTTATGTACCAGAGTCAGAAAATAAAGGTGAGGCCACTGTCTTCAGCAGAACCCTAGTTTTATATATTCATCCAATGGGTTCTACATGGGCAGGAGAGCCATTAGATTAGGGGTTACAGCAGAGGGCAATCTGGCTCCTAGGGATCAAAGTATGGGACATTAAAGCTCAGGGGTGAAGAAGGCGGCACTCAAGAGTTGTGCAGGATGTTTTCTCTAAAATTAAGCCAGCTCCTGACAAACTTTCCTGAAGTGATAGAAGAGTCCCGGGCTGGCAGGCAGAAATACACATTTTAGTTCTGGCTCAGCTGCCACACTACTAGTGATGGACTAGCTCCCGCCCCTCCCTGGGTCTTAGATCTCCCACCTGAAAAGTGGGAGATGGGCATAGTGAACCAGATGAAGGTCAGAGTTAAATTCTAATAGGAAAGCAGGCTTGAGCAAATTATATAAATGCTCTGAGCCTCAGCTTCCTCGTCTGAAAAATGGGAATTTAGTGGTACCAACTTCATAGGGTTGCCGTTAAGAATTAAATGATACAAGATATGTAAAGAGCTTATAACAAGGCTGGCACATAGATAGCCCCTAACAAATGTTAACTTTAAAAAAAAAATTATTTATTTATTTTTCTGACTGGTAAGGGGATCTCAACCCTCGGCATAGTGTTGTCTGCGCCACACTCAGCCAGTGAGCACACCGGCCACCCCTATATAGGATCTGAACCCACGGCCTTGGCACTACCAGTGCCACACTCTCCTGAGTGAGCCACAGTGCCAGCCCCAAATGTTAACTTTTAACACTATTAGCTGCCTCTGTTCAGTTTGGTGACAGCAGGACGTACACCTCATTGCAGCAGTGCGCGCTGCCCTGTCCTTTCTGGTGCTGGCTGGCATCCTGCATACTCACCAGCACCCACCGTGGCGATTGCACTCTCTTGGCCAATGATGTGCTCCTTCAGTCGCTGCTCCAGGGGGAAGCGGCGCCGCTCCTCAGCCTCACGCTTCCGCTGCTTCTCCTGGTACTGTGGGGAAAGAGGGCAAGAGGCTTAGGGATGCTGGGCCAAGTAGACCCCTAGTTTCATTCTATCCCCCAACTTGGGGAAAAAAACCCTGGAGATCCTGCTGCACAGCTCTGGCTCATGACCACTGGAGGCTGGGGCAGTCCTTCCCACTCTCCTCATATCATTTCCTCCCTTCAGGTGGCCACTGCTCAGGGGTCCTGGCTCAACCTGCTAGTAAAATAAGCACTGCTAGGAGATTAACCCTGGGCTTTGGCGTCTGACAGAAGACCTGTATTCAAATCCGAGCTTTATCACTTACAATATGTGCTTATCATCTGGAGCAAGTTACTTCACCTCAAGTTTTCTCAACTATAAATTGGGGATTAAATATGATATAATAATATGATAATGTATATAATGGGCTTAGCATCATGCCTTGCACATAATAATTGCTTAATAAATACAATTTTCTTTCCCTTTCCTTTCCTCTTATCCTGTTAGAAACCACAGCTATGAACACCCTCCACTTCAATGGTACTGCCTTTCAATTAAACATAATTATTCAGCAATTGCTGTGTGCCCAGCCTTGTGCATGGCCATGATGGAAGGATAGGGTGGGGGTTGAGGGGGAGGAGGAGGACTGTGCCCTATCCCCTGGGAGGTTCTAGTTGATGCTGAGTGCCTAGCATGCCTGGCCCTGGCCTACATCCACTTCACAAAAGGCAGAAGGAGGAGGCCTGGGCTTGGAGGGTGCGGAGGAGAGCCAGGCCTTGTCCTTAGGGAGCTCAGTCAGGAGGAGGTAAGCCAGGGCCTGTACACGAATACTTCTCAGGCAGAAACAACCACTTACATCATGGTTCCAAAGCATAAATACTTACCTCTAGCAAAAAAACTACCTGAAAACAAGTTGGTTGAATGTTTTTGAGTCTCACTCTAAATCAATTATGAGCTCCCTGAGCGCTGGTATAATTTTTTACTCATTGCTATTTCCAGCATGATCCTGGCACAGTGGGGGCATCTGGCAAAAATGAGTTCAATGACAGATACAAAGAGGACAGAATTAACAGCCAGACGGGGTGGTATAGGGGTAAAGAGAAGGGGAAGATACATAAATGTGGAACATTTTTGGGGGTGGGGCAGGGCAGCTTTCTGGTAAACAGGAGGATTGAAGAAGCTTGAGGACTGGGCCAGATGGGAGCTGTGGGACTGGAGAACAGGCAGAGAAGGGCAAGGGCATGGGCCTGATGGTAAAGCATTTGTGGAGGTCGGAGCCGGACTGGGAATGAAAGACCAAGTCTCCAGGAGGCTCCTTTCCCCTAAGCTCTGATAATACTAACATCTTTCTAGAAAGAGAGCTGTCAAGGTAAGGCTCTGTCACAAAAGTTGCGGTTGCAGATTGCTCTTGCGGGCAGAGTGGATGAAAAATACCTGCTGCTTGGGCAGTGTTTTCCTGTTATGGTAGTGACCTTGACAGAAGTTAAAAAAAATAAATAGCAAACAATCCAATTTTGGCTGTTGCTATCAGTCTGTAACTGAAAGCTCCCATCAGTCCTGGGGTTTCATATGGAGCAATAATTCGGCGCCGATCCCAGTGGAGCGACGCTTGCCGGCTGGAATCCAGAATGTCACTGTGCTGCTCCCTCAGGCGCCACATACATCACCTGGCTCTGATGACTCCAGCCATATATCTATCTGCCTCTTCCTCCTCCCTGCCCACCAAATCCTGCTCAGCACTCGGGCCCACCGGGCTAGAAAGCTTTGATGGTGAGATGCACACACTGGCTGGGACAGTGCTGGCTTGCAGTTGCACAGGCCATGGAAGCTGGCTTGCGAGGGTCTGTTGGGTTGGTTTCCTCACTTCCCCTCAGTGATGGATCTCAGAGTATTCATGACTCCAAGCCTTTGCTTACACTGTTACCCTGCCCCAGAAGTCCTCCCCACTTCTACCAACTTCCAGTTCCCCGGTGATCTTAGCTTAAACATGATATTGTCTGAGCTTGTTGTAAGATTTTGTGTCTACCCTGGCTCCTGGGACCTCTGGTGCATGTAATTAACTTCGTGTTTGTCTCTTCTTTCTTGATCATGAGGCCCTCAGTTATAAAAACCATGTTTTATTCATCTCTATAGTTCCAGCTTCTAGCACAGGGCCTGGTTCACAGAAGGACTCTGCACATATTGCTCACTGAATGATGTACTACCATTGGTGGAATGGCTGCTAGATGCCAGGCACTATACTCAACACTTTATACACAGCATCTCATTTAATTCTTACAGTTGTCCCCCATCTGAAGTTTGGCTCTTCTTTTGGTTCAAATTGAGGCAAGTTGTGTGGAGAAAGAACAAGCTTTGTTCCATTCAGATCTGAGTTCAAACCTCAACTCACCCACTTACTTGCTAGCTGACATTGGGTAAATTAATTCACCTCTATGAATCTTAGTTTCCTCCTTGTAACATGGGGACAGTACTCATACTTATCTTGTGGGATCCTTGTGGGATGCTGGTGAGGATGAAATGAGATAATGTGCATAAGATACTTAGCAGAATCCGGCACATAGCAAATGCGCATATGTATAATAAGTGGTAGTATGAGTGACTCAAGGGCTAGTATAGTACCTAGCCCTTATTAAGCCTTTGATATATGTTACTTCCCTTCTCCTTCTTGCATTCTGATAATATACTGTCTTGCTCAGTGCCACCTTCTCCTTCTTCTTTTTTTTTTTTTTTTTTGTATTAAAACCCTTTTAAACTGGTTTAATTTTGTGTGGAGCTCCACAGATAAAAAGAAGAGTTGCTCTGGATCAAGCAGAAGCCTGGAGCCAAGTCCACCTGGGTGTCCTCCACTGCCCCAGAAGTGGCTCTTGAGGCTCCTTCCTCTAGGAGCCTAGGTCTGCAAGGTACAATCTCAACACTAATTGGGTTCTGGAGATGACTCTACTGCCTGAGGCCACTCATCTCTGGGTTGTCAGTTCTCCTTACATGGTAGAGAATTCTGCCTCTAGGTACTTTCTATCCATTGGTCTGCCCCAGGCAAAGCCCAACATGACTTTTCTTTCCAATTTGTTGATTGGGTATGTCCATCATGGCCTTCCTCAGTCTGGTCCACGGAAACATTTCTACTTCCTGTAACTCTTCTTCAGTGTCATGAGTTTAGGTTGCCTAGTATTCCTGTTATTTTCTTGGGCAAAGGGAAAGACTCCTTGACTTCCATGGGGATGAGCAGGGATGGAAGTGGGATGGTTATACCATGAACTGACTGGGTTCTGAGGAGCTTTCTAGACTATCTTGGGAAAGGTTCAAACTATGGCCCAAATTTTGAGAACATCCTGATTCTCCCCAGCCTGGAATCCCAAATACCTATGGCATTTCAGAAAAACCTCTGAAAATGGATCAGACTTTTTGATAAAAATGTACAGGATACTGGGATTAACCCAGGTTGAATATTACTGCTTCATGCTCTTTTCCCAATGCTTAGCCCAGAGTTTGTACTAAAAAATGTGTTGAACGAATGAATGACTTCTTTAAGGCATGAGCCATGAGCCCAGCCTTGTGAAAGACTAGCCAGTGCGGAAAATAGAAAAGGAAAATACTTGGTTTGTATATATTCTATTTGGGGGACAGGAAAAGAAGGATGGGAGAAGGAGCTTGGTAAGGTCTGTATAAATGTAGGCTACTATAGTTTCTGGCTTTTTGAGGAGATGGGGAGGAAGGCTACAGGACTCAGTTTAAACCTCTGAGTTGATGGGGTTCCACTAGAGAAGAAGACAGGGCAGGTAACCCAGCCTGCGAAAGCAGAGGGCATGAACGGAGAAAGGCACTGTGAAGGAGCCACCCAGGAGAGGAGTGGGGGAGTGATCATCTTCCTAATAAAAGCCATATACAATTAACTTCAGAAGCCCTCACCTGGAGCGGGCAGCAACCAGCTTCCCATGATACATCTTGGCTGGATAATCGCAGCCACTGGTTTCCATCAGTCTTGATTTAATATGGCACCCCTTCTGGCTGTGAGTGCATTTACAGGAAAGGGCTGGGAGGCTGAGGCGAAGCCTAGCTGGGCTCGCTCTGCTTAAAGCTGAGTGGCTCTGAGGGGGAGGGTTACAGGGAGAAGGGGTATGGCAGGCATCCCAACTGTTGGGCATCACTCAGAGGACAGGTCTGACAATGAACCTGGCAATGTGTTCACTGAGAGGACAGTGGGGGGGGTGGTGTGTAGGCAGAGTAAGATCCTGGGCAAGAACGGGATAGGGAGGAGGAAAGAAAAAAAAGGCCAAGCTTTAGTTTGCTTCTCATTGGGAAGTTAGGCCTACAGAGTCTATGTGCTCCTCACAGGCAGACCTATATATGGCCCATGCTTCTGACTCCCTGATTCAGACCCTAACTCATACTGCAGTCAGGGCTTCTACTATGGCCTGAGATGGAATGACAGAGAGGAGTGGGTAGGGAGGTCAACAAAATGGACCATCGGGTAACAGATGAGATTGGGGGGGTGGGGGGTGGCGGGATGATGGAGGAAACCTGGAAAAGGGGGAATGATAACAGAGGAGCCCAGGGGGTCCAACAAAGAAGCCTAGGGGATACAGAGCAAATGGGAACATGAGACCAGGGGATGAGAGGGACACCCAAGGGACTCAAAAGTCTCTTTAAATAGCCCATAAAGTATGAATTCCTATAGAGGAAGGCTGGACACAAAGCAGGAGTCAGCCCCATCAGACTTGGTAACCACTAGGTCAGCATTGTGATTCCATTCTCCTCTCTTCCATTCATCCTTTTTGCTGCCAGAGCATACTTTAAACATGTAAATCTTATCATGTCACTCCTCTGCAAATATAGCTGGGTTCATCCAAAAATAGGACTGGTGAGAGAAGGTTAAAAGGGGCACGGAGTGGCTAAAGGGAGAAAATGAGTTTGTGCTCATCTCAGTGCATATCAGGGTCACCTGATGTTGATTTATCCCATAACTGGTGAAGTCAGCTTTGATCGCTTGGTGGTATCTGCCAGGTTTCTCTGCTATCATCTTTCTTGTA